CCGCATTGCCTTATATTGGTATTACTGCTTCAACGAGCGGTGTTGTAGCAAGCGGAGATAATGTTAGTTTTACTATTGAATCTAATATGGATTGGACGATTAGCTCTAGTGCGAGCTGGTTTACGCTAAACACAACCTCGGGTAGTGGTAATGCTATATTAACAGGGGTGGCAGCCCCCAATACAACTACCAACATTCGGTCGGTTGAGGTTGTTTTGACAAGTAATGGTCTGATTCAAATCATAAATATAGCTCAATCTGCGGCGGCAACGGGTACATCGGTGCCGATTAGTGCCAAAGTATTTTTGCAAGGAGCTTATGATGCAACGACAGGCTTGATGCGAGATGACTTGCGCAAAAAGAACTATATCCCGACCCAACAACCTTATGGCTCAACATCTTACAGCGATTTTGCTTATACTGGCACTGAAACCGTATCAAGTGCAGTACTTGCGATTTCTACTAATATGGCGGTAGTGGATTGGGTGCTGCTCGAAATGCGTGATGCAACTACACCTTCGACGGTGAAAGCAAGACGTGCCGCATTGTTGCTTCGAAATGGGAATATTGTTGACATTGATGGTGCTTCGCCTGTCAATTTTGATGGTTTGGATAATACAAAAACTTATTATGTGTCTGTTCGTCATCGCAATCATTTGGGCGTTATGACCAAATCACCTATCACATTATCAACTACAACAACGCCAACTTTTGTAGATTTTACCCAAACTACTTTGGCGACCTATAAACGTACTGATGCAACTGGGTCTAATTATGCCCAACGTGCTTATACCAGCCAAAGCAAGACCGTCCAAATGATGTGGAGAGGCAACGTATCTAAAGATAACAAGCTTGTTTTTCAAGGGTCAAGCAATGATATAGCAGCCCTTCAATTTATGATTTTGACGGACACAGGCAATACTAAAAACGCTTCTAATTATATCATCAATGGCTACTCGAGAGCAGATGTGAATATGAATGGGCAAGCTGTATTTCAGGGTAGTGGAAGCGATACTGATTTGATTTCGTTCAATGTTTTGGCATTTCCCGGTAATACTTCTCAAGTATCTAATTTTATTGTTTATGAGCAACTGCCTTAAACAAAATGCAGAGGCAGAATGATGGCGCGAGAGTTCCCCCCTGTTCTATCATTTCTACCTCTGCTACAAAACAGTTAAAATATTTGTATTTTAATTGTTTTTAAATTATTTTGTTCATACTCTTATTTTTTCTTTGCTGTTGCTTTTTGTTTTTTTGCAAAAGCATCGGGCACTTCTGCTTCTATGATTGCTTTTACTTCTTCGAGCGAGAGGTGTGCGGCTTCTTCATTTGGTATTTTTTTGCCATCTCTTTTCAAGGCAATGTTATGTTTTCCAAATTTTATGTAAGGTCCCCACCGACCATTTTCGATACTAATATTTAAATCTTCCCACCTTTGAACATAACGGTTGGCTTCTTTTTCCACTTTGGTTTCTATCAAAGCCTTACAATCGGCAGCCGAAAGGTTATCAAAATCATATCTTTTAGGAATGCTAATATACAAATCCGACCATTTTATAAAAGGGCCAAAACGTCCTTTGCCTTTCGTTACAGGCTTCCCTTCGTAAGTCGAGATAGGTGCATCTGCATCTAATTTTTCTTGAATTAGCTCGGCAGCACGCGACAACGTGATAGTCAAAGGGTCTTCGCTGCGCGGAATGGAAATAAAAGCCTCATTATATTTGATGTAAGGACCATATCGCCCTGTATTTACACTAATCTCAGTGCCATTAAAAACGCCCAGTGTACGTGGTAGCTGGAATAAATCCATAGCCTGCTCTATTGTAATTGTTTCAATAGATTGCCCTGCTTTTAGGTTAGCATAACGTGGTTTTTCTTCCTCATGGAGTTCTTCGGGCTGGCCAATTTGTACAACCGGCCCAAAACGCGCCATGCGCACACTTATCGTCTTTCCCGTTGCGGTATCTTTTCCCAAAACCCGTTCGCCTGTAGCCCGTTCAGCCGTTTGAGCAGTATCCTCAACGAGTGCATGAAAGGGGTGATAAAAATTGGAGAGCATATTTTTCCATTCCTTTTTACCTTCAGCAATGGCATCAAATTCTTCTTCAATATTTGCTGTAAACTTATAATCCATGACTTTGTCAAAATGCTGGTCAAGAAAATCCACGACTAACATACCAATATCTGTTGCAAAAAGATGATTTTTGGCTGTGCCTGTCATCTCTGAGTCCTTACGTGCTGTAATTTGTTTATTTTTTAATGTAAAAACATTGTAATTTCGAAGCTCACCATCTTTCGTTTGTTTTATAACATAACCTCGCCCTTCTTCCATGATTTTACTAATAATTGCAGCATACGTTGAAGGTCGTCCGATGCCTTCTTCTTCCAATTTTTTGACAAGGCTCGCCTCCGTATAACGCGGCTGAGGTCGAGTAAAACGTTCTGTAGCAGCCATTTCGCCAAGTTCTAAGGGTTGACCCACCTTTAGCGAAGGCAGCATATCTTTAGTATCTTCTTCCTCTTCTTCGTCTTTGGATTCCAAATAAACTTTCAAAAAACCGTCAAATTTCAATACTTCTCCGACTGCATGAAACTGATGATTTGCAACAGTTGAGATACCAATTCTGGCCGTGGTGCGTTCCAATTCTGCATCAGCCATTTGAGAGGCGATTGCTCGTTTCCAGATTAAATCATACAGACGTTGTTCATCGCGGTCGGCTGTAACAGTTTTATTTTCGATATAAGTGGGTCGAATGGCTTCGTGTGCTTCTTGTGCTGTGGCTTGTTTTGTTTTATATTGCCGAGTATGAACATATTGTTTGCCATAATTTTTCTCAATTTCTGCTGCCATGCTTTGCAAGGCTGTTTCGCTCAAATTGGTCGAATCAGTACGCATATAAGTAATAAAACCAGCCTCATAAAGTCGTTGGGCAGTTTGCATGGTTCGGCTTACAGAAAAACCCATTTTTCTGCTTGCTTCTTGTTGCAGTGTTGAGGTTGTAAATGGCGCAGCAGGCTTACGACGCATTGGCTTCACCTCTATATCCTCAATTTTGAATGTAGCATTGACGCATTTTTGTAAAAACGCCTTTGCTTCTGCTTCTTCGTCAAAACGCTCAGGAACTTCTGCCTTCACCAAGACTATTTTGCCATATTCATTTTTAACATTAAAAATAGCGGTCAATTTATAAAAAGGCTTCGATTCAAAATTTTTAATCTCTCGCTCTCGCTCAACAATTAGCTTGACTGCAACGGATTGCACACGACCAGCGGACAATTTCCCTTTAATTTTTTTCCAAAGGATTTCAGAAAGCTCAAAACCAACCAGGCGATCTAAGATACGACGTGCCTGCTGTGCATTGACTAAGTTGAGGTCAACAGTACGCGGCTGTTGTATTGCTTTCTGAATCGCGGGTTTCGTAATTTCATGAAAAACGATGCGCTTGGTTGTTCGAGGATTTAGTTTGAGCACTTCGCAAAGATGCCATGAGATGGCTTCTCCCTCGCGGTCTTCATCGGTAGCAAGCCACACTTCTTCAGCTTTTGTAACCCATTCTTTAAGATCTTTGACGACCTTGTATTTTTCGGGAGAAATAACGTAAGTTGGTGCGAAGCCATTTTTGACATCTACTGCGTTATTGCCTTTTTCTAAGTCCCGAATGTGCCCAAAGCTTGACTTTACAGTAAAATCTTTGCCAAGAATTTTTTCAATTGTTTTCGCCTTTGCAGGCGATTCTACTATTAATAGGTTTTTTGCCATTATTTTGGATAAATTTGTTATCAGTTTACGCTTAATATACGCACTTTTTAAAAAATGTTTATTTTATGTAAACCAAAAAATTGTGCCACTTTTAGCTTTCGAAGTGCAAAAGTAAAAATTTTAAGATAATGCCCCCTATTTTGAAAAAAAAACCTTTGAATTATTAAATATTTAATTCTTTTTGAATTGTTTTTTTGTTTGCTTGACTTGTCTTATTTTGCACTGCTTTATTTTTATACGGATAAATCGCAACTTTTATGGACATTTTGTTGGTCTTTATTGGTGGTGGCTTGGGTAGTCTTTTACGATATGGAATTACAATATTATTGCAAAAATATCAACTTCATTTTCCCGTAGCAACCCTATTAGCCAATGTTTTGAGTTGTTTTATTATTGGTATTTTGGTCGGTTTACAACTACGCCAACAACTACCCAACCATTACAAATTGTTGTTAGCAACAGGCATTTGTGGCGGTTTTAGCACATTTTCAACCTTTAGTAATGAAACGTTGCAATTATTTTTATCAGGCAATATTGTATATGCGCTTGTTAATATTGTAATAAGTTTATTGAGCTGTTTAGCTGCTGTGTATGTTGGAATTGTACTTCCACGTTGAACCTAATCATTTTCTTTATTTATTTAGATTTTTTATATATTCGCAGCGAAAATTTTATAAAAAAAAATTAAATTATGAATATAACAAAACAAATATCAAAGCATTTAAGAGAAGTTTTTTTTGGAGGTAATTGGACTTGGTCGAACTTAAAAGATAATTTGGCAGATGTGACTTGGCAACAAGCCACTACGCAAGTTTATTCCTTTAACACCATTGCTACGCTTGTTTATCACATAAATTATTATGTAAATGCTATTTTGACCGTATTAGAAGGGCAGTCACTTGATGCTAAGGACAAATATAGCTTTGACCATGACCCTGTCTTATCTCAAGAAGATTGGGACAAAATGCTGCATAAAACTTGGACAGATGCAGAAAAACTTTCCAACTTGATTGAACAATTACCTGAGCACAAACTTTGGGAGGTTTTTTCTGAAGAAAAATATGGAAATCATTACCGAAATTTTCATGGGCTTATTGAGCATACTCATTACCATTTGGGGCAGATTGTTCTCATAAAAAAAATACTCTTGCAAACCTTGTAGAGCATAGCAAAAGCATGAATATTTTCAGTCATTGCGTGATAAGCCTTCCCCAATTAAGTTAAAAGTAGTAATTACGATTGCTAACATCAGTCCCGGAAAAAATGCCAGCCACCATGCTGGATAATATTCTCGTGCTTTTTCAAGCATACTTCCCCACGTAACGGTATCTATAGGCAAACCAAGCCCTAAAAAAGACAAAGAAGATTCTGCTAAAATTGCGGAGGCAATGCCAAACGAAATTGTAATCAGTACTGGTGGTAGTGCGTTGGGCAGCGCATGAGCAAAAATAATACGCCATTCGCTCATTCCGATAGCGCGAGCTGCTTCAATGTAGGGCAATGCTCGTATGCGCAATAATTCTGCTCTTACAAATTTGGTTATACTTGTCCAACTCAATAAGCCAATGATAATGATAATATAGGTGGTCGAAGGTTTTTCTACAACTGCAATCAGTGCCAAAAGTAAGAGCAATTTTGGAATGGCATTAAAGATTTCTACCATGCGCATAATCAATACATCTAATGGAATTTTAACCTGTTTAGATGGCAAAATAGCGTTTTTTCTCAATAAAAGATTTAAAAAAAATAAAATAGAAAGAAAAATAAGTATCGAAATTGCCCACTGTGTGAAATTATTGAGCAAAAATCGACGGCTCACAAATGCCCAAAAATAAGCTAAAGGAAGGATTAATATATTTAAAATAATTTGTATTCGTGATATTTTTAAGCCATTATCGCCGAAATAACCTGCCAATGCGCCTAATAAGACGCCAATAAAAGTAGCAATTGACATCGACATGAGACCGATCCAGAGTGCCATGCGTGTACCATGAATCACGCCAGAAGCAACATCTCGCCCCAATTTGTCAGTGCCTAACCAATGTCTAAATTGTAAAGAAGGTATATTTTGGACTGCGAAAGGGCTTTTGTAGCCAGTATTTTGTTTGTCTTGCGTGTCAGGCGAATAAGGAATGGGCGGAAAAATAACTTTTTGGTATGTATAATCTTGCCAAGTTTGGCTTTGAAAAGGTGCGTTCCAAGCCAAAAAACCTAATTCTACGGCATATTGCCTAAAAGCAGGAAAGTACGTTTTATCTTGAAACTGACAATAAAGTGGGCGTTCATTGGCAATCAAAAAACTACTCAAAGCGATGCCTAACAAAAGATATAGGCATCGTTTTGCATAAATGGCTGGTTTATATTGTTGTAATTTGTGGTCAATTAGGCTTCTTCTGTACGACATTTTTTTGCTGATTTCTATTCGTAGAAGCCGAAGATATTACAATTTTTCGGTTCGTCAAATTTTGATACCTAATGATACAACAATACTTCTCCCGTCAGAACTCCAAATACCAGGGCCTGGATAAAATAAAGGTCTTTTTGTAAAATATTGTTTATTAGTTAGGTTGTTGATGCCGATGCGCAAAATATAACGCTGCGCAAAACGCAATGCGGTGTTAAAATCCCACAAGCCATAAGCAGGCACCAGTCCTTTCGCACCGTTGGCAGTTGCTATGATGGTGTTTGTTGGGTCAGAATACGTTTTATCAGTATAACTGTATTGCAAAGAAGCAGAAAAAATTTTATAATTGGCATTGATGCCATTCCGAGTTATCCATTTTGGCGCGCTTTCTACATAATTGCCACTAATATCTTGGTTTTCGCTGCCTACTGCTAATTTTGCATCTTTATAACGGGCATCTAAATAAGCAGTAGATGAAAATAGTGATAAGGTTGTCGTTTCATTTTTAATGGCAGTTGCTTCTGCGTACAATTCTATACCTGTATTTTTATTGTTGCCAATATTCGTTTTATAAATATAGTTTACACCATTTTCGACCAAAAGCAAATTTCCCAAACGATTGTTGTACTGAATATTGAAGAAATTTAGGTCATAATGTAACCAATTTTTGATTTCACCGCTTACACCCACTTCGATATTGTAGCCATCAGCATCTTTAAGATTTTTATTGACTCGTTCTAACATTGAGCCTGAGATAATGTCTTTTAGCACCACAGGTCGATATGCTTGCGAAATACCACCATAAATGCGATTTTTTGTATCAAATTTATATTGGAAATTAACGCCCAGTAACGGAACGCTATGTTTGATTGTATTCGGAATGTCATTCGGGTCGAGGTAACCAATATAACCACTCATATTACTTTCGCCAGTTTCGTAACGGATGCCAGGCGAAACTGTAAATTTTGATGTAATGTATATTAAATTTTCGACAAAAAATGCGATGCTTTGGCTTTTAAAATGCAAATCGCGCCCGAAAATTGGACTTGTTACTGACAAGTCAAAATCGCTTCCTGTAGTACCTTTTCCTTGCTGGCGACGATGCAAATCATTATTAAAATAGCGGATACCGCTCGCAACCACATTTTCTAAGTTGCCAATTTGGTAATGATGCAACAACCGCAATTCTGACGTGTAACTATTAAAATTGTCAATATCCACTGAGCGCGGCGCATATTGCCCTGTTTTTGGGTCAATAGCATCGACTTTATCCGCAAAACCTTCAAATTGAACGCTATTTCGAGAACCAAGCACAGCAGAACTAATCCAATTTAAAGTTGTATTTTCATTTATTTTGCAATTGAAATGAAGCGAAGGAACATAAATATCGGGGTTGAAATAGTTGCGAGAACGGGTAGCTTGGCGTGGGTCGGCATAAAACATGGCATCAGTCAATTGACCAGGAATTTGATAAACGTAAGCACTTCTGCCCAGCTCGGCTTTTAGGCTTATTTTTGGGTTAAAATCATAAATTAATCTCAAAAATTGGGCATCAGCATTTGATTTTGCGTTTTTTCGATAGCCATCTGAAACGCGTTTTTGGTAATAGCCATAATAAGTTAATTTACCGATTTTGCCACCCAAAGCATTAAACGAGCTGAAAAGCCCATAAGAACCCGTTGAATTAATGCTTTCAAAAGACACGTTTTTGGTAGTATCTGCCTCTTTGGTTACATAATTAATCATGCCTCCAAACTCTGCACCATATTGCAAAGAAGCCGTACCGCGCACTAATTCTACTTTTTTTATAGCTTCCATCGGCGGGCTGTAGTGGCTTGCGGGATAGCCATAAATATCAGAATTGGTAACAACACCATTTTGACGGATATTATAATCCCAACTGCGGTGCGGGTCAAGCCCACGTGTAGCAATATTGACTTGATTGCCCGAACCGTCCATATCATACACAAAAGCACCCGGTATTTTAGCAAAAATTTGGCGAGCCGTTTTTTCAGCAAGGTTGGCAGGTAAATCTTGAACGTTGATTACCTCATTTTTTTTTCCTGCAACAAGGTAAGTTTCATGTACTTCTGAAAGGCGTTCTAATGGCTGAATTTGTAAGCGATAACCAGTAATATGAACATCTTTTAGTGCAATAGTATCTATTTTATTTTGAGCAGATAAAAACAAAGGAAGTAATAGCACATTTAGTACAATTTTTTTTTTCATATAATAAAAATTTTAAACTAAAATAATTAAGTGCAAAATTACTACTTCGCGACCTACAACATCTTAATTTAAAATTAGAATACGCTAAGAAAAGGCTTAATTTTTAGGATCTTTTTTTCTGTCGCTGTGGGCAGTTGAAGAGATTAGCTGCCCGTCATTGTATTCCAAGTCAACAACAATAACGCCATTTTCGTCCCATTTTATGGTATGTCCGTGCATTTTGCCTTGACGAAACTGCGCCTCAAATTGTTTTTTGCCATCTTTGTAATAAACGATGCCTAAACCTTCTTGTTTGCCATCAACATAATATTGTTTTTCCTTCAGTTCGCCTGTCGGGTAATAATAATAGGTGGTATCTTGTTGAAGGTCATTTTTAAAAGTTAATTTACCAGAAATTTTGCCGTCAGAAAAATAAAAATAGCTAATACCTTCTTTTTTGCCATCAACAGTACGATAACGGCGAGACACTTGCCCATTTTCATAATAGCCGATTTCTTCTTTTGGTTGGGGTTTGCAAGCGATTAGTACTCCGATAAAAACGATAGTCCAGCCAAAAATTTGCTTTAATTTCATTTCAAATATTTTGTTAAAAAAATCATGTCAGAGCCACAACTAAATGACGCTGACATGAGATAGAAAATATTGATAATTTTTCTAAAAAAAATTTTTATTTTTTCCAAGGTAGAGCTTCCACTCTGTCTGCGATGGCACGTCCAAAACGCACGCCCTCTTCACAATCCATACGGAAATGTACGCCCAAAGGTACACGAGAAAGTGCATTTTCGTAGGACATTTCGTCGAAATTATTGAATGAACGCGGCGTTCCTAAAAATTCAACTCTGCCTTTATGACAATTGTCGGTCATAGCATAACCACCACCAAGCATATAGTTCAAGATTTTGCCACCAGCACCACCCATTGTAGAGTGGCCAGAAGGATAAGCAGGGAACGAAGGTGTAATCCCTTTATCACCCGTCAACGGGTTATTTAAATTTGGCTCCCATTTAGGGTCAATAAGCCTTCTGATATAAGATTCTGGACGCTCAATATTGTAATAATATTTAGAATACCAACAAGCCACAGCAGCATCATTAAGAGACATACCTAATTTTGCATAAGTTACAACTGCCGTTTCGAGATTGCTTTTCTGTGCACTAATAACTTGGTTAGCAATAGCCATCCAACGAGGGCCTGGGCTAAAAGTAAGATTTACTAGATCATCACTCCAAAATTCGCCAATCCATTTGTCTTCATAGCTTTGAGATGGCGTATTAAACGAATATACTTCTAATGCTTGAGCATACAATTTTGAATTTTTATCTTCACTAAAAGGCAATGGTGCATTGCATAATTTATCACTTTCTTTGATGGCAAAAGTACGGACTTTACCCCAATAAGGGAACATACCCGCACCAGGGCCTGGTGTTGTTGGCACCCAAGCACCTACATTCGTGCCTTGTTTCCAACCTCTAAAAACATCTTTGTATGCATCGTGCCCTTCCGTATCGGTTTTTGACCAATCCCAGAAAGCATTGGCTACGCCTTCGCCCAAAGTTTTTGAGCGAGCCATTACTTCGTCACTAATCGTAGTAGATGCAGAAATAGTTGCTTCAAGCGAATTAATACCACTATACAAAGATTCTCCAATAAATTCTTTTGGAAAAAAATTGCGCATCAAATTAGCATAAACCGCATTAACAACGGTGGGCCAATGATATTCAAGTGCAGCATCTGCTTTAGGTACATTTAGGCTGGGGTAAAGTGCAGCAATCGACTTATAATCAGTCATACCACTCACGCAAGCCTCGTAAGCAGCTAAGCCCATATAGGCTAAAGCACGAGGAGCTACACCAGGACGATAACCAGGCGCATAACGCTCTAACTGCAAAAATTTGTCATTCCACAATAAAGAAACACTACTCGGTGCATCTTTGACTTTGCTCGTTGTAATCGTGATTGGCGTAGTTGGTTCTGGGTCTTTATTGCCACAGGAAGAAACAAACAAGGCTGAAGCCAATAGCAACAACGCAGATAGGTGGGTAAGTTTAAAAAATCTCATGGGTAAACGTCTAATTTGTTGATTTAAATTTTTTTAATTTATTGTCCGAAAATACTTTGATAATAATTATCATGGAAGCAAAGGTCACACATTTTTTGTTTAAATGTCTTAATTTGCATTTAAAATAATATTAAAAAATGCTTAGAATTGTTTTTACGCAGAACGGTCTTAGTGATGGGCATCGCACCTTACCCAACAAAGTTACGTTTTTTTTAAAAAATAGCCTAATTTAACGCCCCTTTTTGTTGTAAAAATTTCTATTTTTGAGCAACTATATTTTTAAGCTATTTAACAACAAGAAAACTACTACTATGAGTGTTAATTTACCTCCTCCGACGCGCGATAACGGCAAT